CAGTGGCGGATGAGCAAACATTGGGCGGCTGTCAGAATCCCCGACTTCCTGAGTGTCCACATCGCAGATTCATTGAAGTTTAAACACACAGAGACCTCCCGTCCTTGCCCTTTGCGTTTGCCAAGAGATGAGGTTATCCTCGAGTGAGTGTTGTAAATAGCCGCCCCTCATTTCCCCCTCCAACTTGCACTTTGGATTTTAATCAGGTTCAAAGCCTGCTTAGCATTTTGGTTATTTCCCATCTGTATGACCCACGAGCCACCTAAGGATGCTGAGACTTTAATGTGCACATGAATCACCAAGGATCTTGTTGAAATGCAGGTTCCGATTCAGCAGATTTGAGGTGGGGCCTGAGATTCTGCATTTCTAACAACCTCTCAGTTTTACTAATGCTCCTTCAAGGTCCACACTTCAAAGAGCAAAGGGCTAGGTCAATGGCTTTCAATCCTGGCTGCACATAGGAGTCACGCGGGGAGTTGTAGAAATACTGCTGCCCGGGTTCCACTCTCAGATGTTCAGACTTTCCTGGTCTGGGATGTGACTCCCAGGCTTCAGAAGCACCAGGCAGATTCCCTCAGCCCTCAGCCTCTGCCTTCTAGCTCCTCCTCACTGCCTGTCTGGTCTACTCACACTGCCTCTGCTGTATTCCTGGATATTCCTCTCCCTGGTCCTTGGCATTCATGGAGAGTTTATTGTGGACTAGAACTTTCCATATAACCTGACAAGGTCAGCACTACTTCTATCTCCATTTTGCACATAGACAACCTGAGATTTGGAGAGTGAAGTATCTTGTTCTAGGTCACACAGCTAAGAAGGAGCATCGTGACCCACCCAGGTCTTCTGTCCTTGGAGCACAAAAGCAGCACAGAGAGTGGGTTTAAGAGGATGGCCTCTGGAGTCACAGAGACATGGGACCCACTGCTTACCATGGGTGTGATCTTGGGCAGGTTACTTAGATCCTACAAGCATTAGGTCTCCCTTCTGTAGAATGGGGTGCTAAGAGTACCCACTTCTCAGGGCTATTGGGAGCATAAAAGAGATGACCCATATAAGCCATGGCCCCAGAGCCTGGACCACAGGAAGGGTTGTCACCCTCTCAACACCATGTGCTGCCTCCACAGCACTTCCTCTGGGCCCCTCTTATTTGGCACTGGGCACAGGCTTCTGGATTGTAACTCATCTTTTCTGGGCTCACATCAACTCTTCAGTGGAAAGCCAATTCCTTCAAGGCAGAAAGGTACAAGTATGAAATGCGTTTGAAGGTGATTTGTTTGATTCATGGTCTCCAATGGGTGCCCTTTGTCCTGTGGGGCCCAGCAGTGGCAGGTAGTAAATTCAGCAGTATTTGTCAATTGATGGAATTTATGTTAGTCAATGGAAAAATAATCGTGTTGGAAACAGAACTGTCATATAAATATAAGTAATTACCTTGTTAGAGTCATTCATTCATTGCCTTCTGTTTACTCAGATCCTATGAAATGACTGAGGACAACTCAGCCTGAATCCCCCAGCCACAGGCCAGGCTGATCTGCTGCCTGCTTCCCCCGTGGTAGGGGTGGAGGGCTGAGGAGGTGGGGACTCCACCTTGTGTGTCTCTCATGTATTCAGGTGACTACGTTAGAGGCTGCACACCCAGGACTTCCCCACTTTGAACACTGACAGTCTCACATCCATGGAAACCCCTCAGTCCCAGACAAATGGGGATGGTTGGTCACCCCACCGCAACCACTCACATCTGGGGCCACGTCCTTTCCTTTCACCAACCTGATGACTCCGTGCCTTTCAGCCTTCCTTCTTTGTGGAGGGCCCTTTGGCGTGAGGTGGTTCCTGCTGGTTTTTCTCATCCCCTTTGTGGTGTGGACCCACGAGTCCCTGGGGCTGGGAACAGTTGCTGCCTCCCACCCTGCCTGGGCTGGTGGGTTGTGAGGGGTCCCCCGTCTGGTCCCGGCTCAGCATTTCTCTCGGCACAGCCTGATGTCTTCCTCCCTCCGTTTGAGTGCCTTGTGGGTGGCCGAGGGAGGCTCTGTCCTGACGCTGGCAATAAGAAGAGCGTCCGTAAAAGAAAACACCTCCACTTCCCTCCCCCTTTCTCAAGGCTGCGACACACGTTGCCGCAGACAAGCACTCAGTGAGTACACGGAAGTGGGGCTGTCTTCTTTCTGAAGCCGTTTCAGATGAAGTTGAATATTTTTAAACTAGGCAAGCAACACCACAGCTGAAAATGCTTGGATTTGAAAATAAACGTGTGGCAGATTTACACAAATCCCCTGAATCAGTTAGAGACACTTTCAGCAGCAAGTACAGTACGTGACTGAGGGGGCTCACACACCCGAGCTTTATGTTTCTTGCATAAGAAGAAGTCTGGAGGCGGCAGCTGCTGATATCGACTCAGAGATCAGTGATGTCAGGCTCTGATTTGGTATCAGTTCCATTCTCTGGGTCCCTTCACGTCAAAAGATGGCAGCAGCAACTCCAAACATCATTCCTTGTGCAGCTGAGTTCAAAGAGGAAGCAGAGGAGCCTAGAACGGGGACTCTCCTTCCTTGCTGAAGTAGAAATCATTCCCAGAAGGCCCCTCCCACCAGCACACTTCCCCTTACATCCCACTGTCCAGAACTGGGTCATACACCCACCCATTGACAAGGGGCAGATTTCACCTTCTTTACAATCCAAGTCTCTTCCCAATGCCTAAACACTATTGAGGTTCTTTTAGGGAGGGATGGCTTTGGCTGGAGGACAAAAAGCGTATTCCCAGCCCTCTTTCTCTGGGACGCAGAAGCCTGAGTTCCTGTCCTGGTCCTGGTCCTATTTCTGCCTTGCTCAGGGGTGAATAACATGATGAACTGGATGCATCATCCTAAGCCAAGGAACGTGAGCTAGCAGTGAGGTTTCTGCATGAGACTGCTTTCCTCACTGGCTCCATGGCAAGAAACAAATTTGAAAACTGGTAGACAAGATCATTTCATAGGCAACTGCTACCTCAGATGTTTCTGAGTGTTGGCAGGGTTGACTGGCCAGCATCTTTTCTTGTCTCCAGGCATTTTTTGCAGACATGCACAGATAGAGATGCAGATGTTGACACAGATACAAATGTAATTATAGATTTTCTTGTCTGATGATGTCTGCAGAGCAGGTGCAGATCCATCTGCTGGGGAAGGCTCAGGAGAAGTCCAACTAGGACCAGGGGCTGCGGCAAATTGAGGGACCTCAGCCTCGTGAGAGCAAGCGAGGCTTTCCAGGGCACTCCAGCAGATGCACTGAAGTCTCTGCACAGGAATGGAAGTCTGGACAAACAGCAGTGGAGGTGTGGGGAACAGAGGACAGCTAATAACCAGACCTACCCTAAAAGGCCTCTGATCCACTCTCCTGATTCTAGGAGAAGAGACATAGTCCCTCTTGACTTGAAGTGTGTTGGGAAGAATAAGAATTCAGGATTATCTTTGAAAAGTTACTTAAAAGTACATAAAGTTGCAAAATGCTGTATTGTGATGAGTAGTAGTGGTGACCTTTACAAATTCAGTTGAAGGGTTAAAAGGAAGTAGAGATGCACCATCAGTACTAATCTGTAAATAATGTGAGTATAAGGCTTAAGACAGAGTGGCCAACCATCCTAGACAAACTGGGACAAGTTGATCACTCTAGCTTAAGGTAATAATCAAAAGCAAATTGAGCGCTTTGAAAGACTTGATAAAGGCAAATTATTAGAAAGCATTTTGCTAAAGAGATAAATGTGGGCAATATAACTAAGGAAGTTTAGAAAAATCTTGCAAATCTAGCAGAGAAATCTAGAAGACGTTGCTTTGCCTGTGTCTTTAAGTTCTTGCTTTGCTTTAATGTTACAGGAACCAGAAATGGAGCACAGCACCGTATGACTTACTCAGCAACATTAGTGCTCCAGTTCATAACTCATTTCTAAGAAAAGGCCATCACTAAAGATCGTTAAGAAAATCACATTTATGGGTTTAAGTTTCAGTGTTTGTGGCCTGATGTTTTCTTTTCCTTTTATGATTCTCCACTTTATCACTTTTAATTAATCAACTCATTGCCAGTCATAATTGAGTTAGCCAGAAAGACTTCAAAGTTTTCAAAAGGCTAACATCATCCTCAATCATCTCAACATCTCTTAATGTTTTGGAGCTAGAAGGGATCTTAAGGATAACCCAATCTGATGCTCTCTTGTCACAAATGATGTTGCTCAGGCTCCAAGAGAGGATGTCCTTGACCACGGCCCCACTGTGAGTAGAGGAGCAAAATAAGCACCTCTCCCACTGCTCTACACTGAAGGCAGTTGTGTGGGGGCCAGAAGAATGCTGTGGCAGGCAGGATAATGGTCCCCCACAGACGCCATACCCTTACCCCTGGAACCTCTGAATATGTTATTGACAAGGCCAGAGGGACTTTGCAGATGTGATTAAGGTAAAGGACCTTGAGATGGAGGGATTATCCTGGATTGTCTGAGTGAACCAGTCTGATCACATGTGTTCTTAAAAATGCGAGAGGAGGCAGAAGGTGAGTCAGAGAGATACAATAATGAAAGAAGAGGCAGAAGAGGGTCACAGCAAGAGAGGATTCTGACCCACCCTTGCCGGCTTTGAAGATGGAGGACGTGAGATAGAGCCAAGACATTCAGCCCTAGCAATGGAGAATGGCCTTAGCTGACAGCCAGCAAGGAAACGGGGATCTCAGTCCTACAGCCACAGGAACTTTGTTCGGCCAACAACCTGAATGAGCAAGGAAACGGATCCTCCTCTACAGCTCTCGGAAAGGAGCACGGCCCCATCAACACCTTGTTTTCAGTCTGGTGAGACCCATGTTGGACTTCTGATCTACAGAACGTTAAGATAATAAATTTGTGGTGTTTATGCTGCTAAGTTTGAGGTAACTTGTTACAGCAGCAATAGAAAACTAATACAAATGCGATAGTGACAGTCCTCTCCTTGTTTCAGAATATTCTGACGCATAGCAATTGATGTCATAGAAAAGATTCTAGAAGAGCAAGTCATAGAGAAGGATTTATGGTTTAGAAACTCTTGAGTGAAGGCCAACAGGTTATCAAGGAAGTGGCACCTGAAAGATCCAAGGAACTGAGTGTAGATAGAGCAACTTTCCTGCAACGTGTTCGAAGCTCTCACAGTAGCTGCTCCTCCCCTCCCCCAAGGAGGCACCAAGGCCCACAGAAGAACTAGTGGACAGTAAGTGGGTATACGGTGGGCAGGAACCAGGACAATTGTGACAATACCCAGCTGCAGGAGGCACTCATCAGCAAGTTCACTTCTTGCTCATCCAAAGACAGTTCTGTTGGAAAAGTAGGTTTTCTTCATTCATTCATTCAACAGAGTCACTGAGCACCTGCTGTGCACCAAGCCCTGTTCTAAGTACTGGAGATAAAGCAGAGCACAAAACAGACCAGGTTTCTGCATTCCTGGTACTTATACTCTGGTATAGGAGGTAGACACATGAACAAGGAAACAAACAAGGTGATTTCTGAAATTGACATAGTATGAAGAAAATAAAAACCACTTTCTGTGATGGGGCAGTGGTCAGGGAATCCTATTTGAGGTGGTGAGCTCCTCTGAGCTGAGTCCACGACAAGAAAGAGCAAGCTATGTGGTGGTTGGGGAAATCATGCTCCGAGCAGAAGGAACAGCAGGTACAAAGGACCTGTGGTGGGAATGAGATTGGCAGGTTTGAAGAAAAGAAATGTACAAGGTGACTGTGGCAATGTGAAGGTGCACAAGGGAGAGAGGTGTGCAATCAGAATGGAGAAGTGTTCGAGGGCTAGATCAGGAAGGGTCTTGTCGGCCAGGTTCAGGAGGTGGGATCTTATTTATAGTGCAAGGGGAATCCATTGGAGGTGGTGATGTGACTGGACGTGTGTTTTTAAAAAGGCCTTTCTAGCTGCTATGTGGAGAATGGGGGGAGGGGAATAAGAGGAGTATGGAGTATTGGAGTACGTTAGGAAACCTCTACAGAAGCCAGAGATGATGGTGATCTGGATCAGGATGGTGGTAGAGCAGATGGTGAGACGTGGCTGGATTTTGGAAGAACAGGGGATGCAGCTCCCGATGAACTGGCTGCTGGGAAGAGCAAAGGAGAGAGCGTGCCTTTTATGAGTGAGATGGGGCCTGCCCTTTGGGAGACAGACACTGCCTGAAAACATTGTTTGCTCTGTTGGGAAATGTAAACATGGACTTCTCTCATGTGCACTGGAATTCAGTTATTAAGCTAGGGGCATGGAGTGCAACCAGAGCTCAGAAAAACGAGAATCCACAGGGGATCCAGTGCTTTGCATATTTAATTCGTTTACTTTTTAAATCAATACAATTAGGTGAGTTCTATTTTAAGCTCTATTATAGATGAGGAAACGGAGGCACAGAGAGGCTGGGTAACTGTCTTAGGTCACTCACGGGATCACCAACATCCCAGCTACTGAGAGGGGATTTTTGGTTTTTTTGTGAGGAAGATTGGCCCTGAGCTAACATCTGTGCCAATCTTCCTCTATTTTGTATGTGGCGCTTGTATGTACACTGCTTGATGAGCAGTGTGCATGTCTGTGCCCAGGATCTGAACCCGCGAACCCTGGGCCACCGAAGTGGAGCATGAGAACTTAATGACTACACCACCAGGCTGGGCCCTAGAGCAGGGACTTGGATCCAGGCAATCTAACTCCCCATCTGAGCACTTACATGCTACGTTCTCCTCGACAAGGATTTGGTGTACTGGTCACGTCTGTAACTAATGATGCACTGGGAGCTTAAACAAATGTTAGAAAGCGTAATTCTTCTAATTCATGAATATACTTATTTTTTTCTAACATTTGCCCAAGTTAGACATTTAGGTCATTGGTTCTCAACAGCGGGCAATTTTGTCCCCCAGGAGACATTTGGTGATGTCTGGACACACTTGTTTGTCACAACTGAGAGGGCAGAGTTACTGGCATCTAGAGGCCAGGCGCGCTCCTAAACCATCTCGAGTGCATAGGAGAACCCCCCGAACAGAGAATGTTCCAGCCCCAGTGCCAAGGCTGAGAACTCCTCTTGTAGGTGAACATAGGCTGGAGGATATGCATGCACCCGTGAATGATGACAGACAGGAGCGTGCAATTAATTGTCCAATCGATATATATTTAGGCAGTGTTAGGGGTTTCTCTCTAGGGGACAGGAAGAAGATGTGTTGTAATTTGTAATCGCACATTCTAGTCTGAGAGATGGGACATAGCACAAAACAAGATAATCACTGGCGAGGCGACCTAGAAGTGATTCTGAGGGCAAAAGGGTCTCAGAGAGGGAACGTTGATGGAGGATTGCATCAGGCTTCAAAGAGGTGGCACCTGGGATGGCGACCTGAAGATGGAGCATCATTTGGGTGGGGAAAGCCCTGGTAGGGCCCTTTGCCTTGGGAAGAACCATTCGTGAAGACACCAAGGTAAGAATTAGCAGGAGTACGGGCGCTGGGGGAGTAGAGTGGGGAGGTGCAGAGAGGCACGGAAAGGGAACGATATGGGAATTTGGAGTTGACTGAATCAGTTTCTCCTGATGGAAGGAGGGCAGGGTAAGGCCAGATTATGGAGGGCTTAGAAAACCAAGCATGGGTTTGCTCGGGGAAGGACTAGGGAACTAAGAGCACTCTCCAAGTGAGATTTTGTACATGCCTTGGGGGCATTTCTCAGTCATGGTAGAAAATGCCACCTGGAGGAGCTGGTCTGGAGGGGTGGAGGCCAGAAGGCTGGGCTGCGACTCAGCTTGCAGTGATGAGGTGGGTTTAGGTGATGATGGGGTAGGTTTAGGTGATGGAGATGAGGCAGGTTTAGGTTGGGTGATGAAGTGGGTTTAGGTGATGGTGATGAGGCTGGTTTAGGTGGTGACCGCAGAAATGGAGAAGGATAAACTCAACAGTCAGTTCTCTGAGCATCCAAGTTACTCCCCCATTCACAGATGAGAAGTCAGAGACACTGTGAGGCTAAGTGACTTGCCTGCTGTTGCGACCAGCTAATAAGTGGCAGGCCTGGGCTGGACTGGGCTTTGTCCACTTGTGTGGACGGCAAGAGAAAACCTCCGTGGAGCTTGGTTTGTAGAGAATCTAGGGCCAAGACTGTGTAAAGGGTAAGACCCCGATTCCGAGTATATTCCAGGAGAAAAGGCAATGGTGGAGATAACTGAAGACAGCAGTAGTGGTTGCGCTCGAGTGGGTGGGCCATGATGGACTTTTTTCTTCTTTCCCTTTTTCTGTTTTCGGAAATGTATTTAATGAACAATTCTACTTTCACAATAAAGGGGAAGAGAGCATTTGAGCATCTGTATCTACTACTAAAGAGAAATGAGTGAGAAAAAGACCAAGAAGAAGCCACTGTGTTTTGCTGGAGGGAAGAGATGGGGGTGGGGGGAGGAGGCCCTCAGGAGAGCAGCCTCCCCGGGAAGCAGGAGGTCAGGGGGAGGAGGGGAAGCAGGGCTCAAGTGTCTGGGTTTGCAGTGACACGGAACCAAGAATTGGGATGGGAAGAAGCACCACGGTTGAGCCAGGCGGGACTCCCATTTTTCTGAACGCACTGAATTGCACACCCCTACCCTCACAGTCCCCTTCTTGTCCTTCAGAGAAACCAGTGTCCCTGTGATCCTGGTAGGACTTATCTGTGACTCTGCCCGCTCATCTGGCAGCTATCGCCCTGAGCTGCTAGGAGCCTGGAGAAGATGAAGGCTTTCGTGGTTCTGTCCCTCATTGGGTACCTGGTGGTTCCAAGTGGCGCTGCTGTCTTGGGGCGCTGTGTGGTGGCTAAGAAGCTCCATGAAGGAGGCCTGAGTAATTTTGAGGGCTACAGCCTTGAAAACTGTGAGTATGCCTTCTCAGCCCCCTCTCTCCTCACCTCCTTCCCCTCTGTCCTCTGCCCAGGCATCCCCAACTCCAGGCTTCTCTGAGCCACACACCTCCTGTTCCATCTTAGGGGTGTGCCTGGCTTACTTTGAGAGCAAGTTCAACCCCATGGCTGTCTATGAGAACACGCGTGATGGCTACACCGGCTTCGGCCTCTTTCAGATCCGCAACAATGTCTGGTGCGACAGAGGCAAGAACCGCTGCCACGTGTCCTGCTCCGGTAGGTCACCGCCCTCCATTGCGCACCGGGGCACCGGGGACCGCAGCATTGAGCTCAGAGGTGTGCCTTTCCGAAGGCCGGAGTTTACAAGCTTGGAGCAGGGAGCAGGAGGGCCAGGGGGCTGGGCTGAGCCGAGTCCCAGGTGGGGCCCTGGAGAGGCTGAAGGCCCCACTGCCAGGGGATCAGGGAGAAAGAGCTGCAGAGTCAGGCATGCGGCCTGGGATGGAGCGATGGAGACCCACGTCCAGGTGGGCAGAGAAGGCATCGGGATGTTGAGAGGAGGCGAGGAGGAGGCGGCCAAAGTCAGAGCCCATCCGACCCTGAAGGGTGAGAGCAGAGGGCACAGTGGGCCTGATTTTACCACACTTGGCCACCACACTCTTCTTTAAGGGGAACAGATGCTGCCACTTTGACAGGCAGAAATGGTCACTGGGGGGAGACAGGAGTGGGCCGTCCCAAGGGGAGCTTGCCCTGCTGCTTTTTGGGGCTCCCAAACACTGTGGTCAGGAGGAGGTGCTTGCCCAAGATTCACTCATCCTGTGAACATTTACCGAGCCCCCACTAAGTGCCAGGCCTCCTGGAGTTGACATTCGAGTGCTTGCTAACTGCCAGGTACTCTTCTAAGCTCTTCACAGGTATTAATTCGTCTAATCTTCACAATGACCCCCAGGATGTGTGCACTGTTACTATCCCCATTCCATAAGTGTGGAAATTGAGGCCCAGAGAGAGTAAGTACGTGCCCAAGGCCACATAGCTGGTAGGTGGTAGAGCTGGGAGAATATCCAAGCAGTGTGACTCCTGCCTCAGGGCAACTATGAGGCTGCACGGCCAGAGCTCCTCCTGATGCCTGAGGCTGTCACTGTGCAGCATGAGGCTCTAAGGGTGCCAGCATCCTAGGGTCTTCCTAATGAGCAACCTCCCTCCCCGTGATGGGTGAGAAATGTCCCAGAGTCGGTGGCTTCTGAGCTGGGTCTTTAGGAGGCAGAGTGGAGAGGTCATGGCACAGGCTTACAGCCTTACAGTGTGGTCCTGGAGGAACCTGCCTTGTGTTGGGTCCCATGCTCAGCCTTGGGGCTCCAGAGAGGAGAAAGATAGTTTCCAGATTCAAGGAGAAGCAGAACTGCAAAGTAAGAGGGAAAGGCGCAAGAGCCATGCAGGAACTTCGTGGGAATCCCAGCTGCTCCCACGATGTGCTACATGCACTTGTGCAAGTCACTTCCTAGAGCTTCCTTGTCTGTGAAGTGAGGACGACATTACCTACCTCTTATAGTTGCTGTCAGCATTAAATGGAGTCATGTATGTGAAACACTGTGGAGGACCCATAGTGAATTACAATAATCACAGTCTAGGGAAGACATACACATTAAGAAGGTGACTTAATTACTGTGATGGAACTTTCAGTGTCATCTTGAGCTTCCTGGTAGCCAAAGCAAAAAGAGAAACACAGTAAACCTATAATTTATATCTCATAAGAAGAAATATATATATATGTTTGTATATATTAAAAAATATATAGGTATATGTGTGTGAATACACACACAGAGCCAGAATCCATGGGAGAAACATATAGTTATCTGTAACAGAGGTGGTGGTACTGGGTCCTGTAATGAAAATATGGTGGACTAGACATCCTGGAAAATCCTCCCACTAGATAAAATATAAAACAGAAAAAAATCTTTTAAAGTACCTGGGTGAGCTGGCAAGAAAGTAAGAGAAATCCCTTGAGGCTAAAAAGAGGCCCAAGAATCCAGATAGGTGAGTGAGGATGGAAGACAACGAGGACCCTGGGGCATCTGCTGATTCCCTGTAGCGTGATGCACAGGTTTGTGGTCACCATGTAGACTGGGCCTGAGCAAGGTGAGGAAGTGTGTTGGAGACCTCCATAGAAAGCCAAGAGCCCCAGAGAGCTGCCCTGTCAGCTGAAAGAGGTGAGCTGGAAACTCCCCAAAGTGAGGACATTCCAGAAAGAGGGGAAACCGTCTTCCCTGAGGATGTGGAAGCCCAGCCCATAGATCTCACAAGGCACCATTGGGAGGCGCTACCCTGTGCTAAGTGCGGGGGGCAGTGCAGAGGAATCGGGTGCTTTCCCTGTCTGGCAGGGTGGGGAGCAGAAAGAGCACAGGCTTTGAGGTCAGAGTCTTGGCTCCACCTCCTACTGGTTCTGTGATTTGAGCCTCAGTTTTCTTATCTGTGAAATGGAGATAATAATAGTGCCTAGCCCGTAAGGCTTTTATGCGTTCGTAGAGCACTACGTACAGTGCATGTAAAGGGCTGAGCACCGTACACGGTCTAGTGCTTGATGAATACAACTCTCTTTCATTCAGAGGATTTATGAGGCAGTTGGGGGTTAGGATGTATGTATTACACATGGGTGTGCATGTATGCATGTGGGTGTGTGTATGGGTGTGTATAACAGATAAGTGCTGAATCAAAGTGGCATTTTACACAGAAGAAGGGAGAGGGCTCAGTGGGCTAGGTGGTCAGTGACAGACTTTTAAGGACTGTACTGTTGCGATGAGCAGATCCAGGTTGGGAGACGAGCTTGAACAAAGTCTGGGCAGAGGAACTGCATGTGATCCTCAAGCTGTGGGTACTGGGGTGGAGCACCCACCATTGGGTGGGCACCGTCTTTGCCTCCTGCCCCTTGACGTGTCTTGAATGGTGCGGTGGTGGAGGAAAGCAGTGGAAGGCGAGGTTGTAGAAGTGGAAAGGCATGTTGGGCCAAGTTGGACTAAGGCAAGGATTTGGGGTTCTGTTTCACAGGCAATTAGGGGGCACTGAAGTAATGTTTTAAGGAAAAGCAAGCGATCAGACTAGATGACGGAAGGCGGGAGACTGCAATGTAGGCAGAAGGAGGGGATTGCAGTAGTCAGGCGGGAGGTCTTGGCTTCCACCCTCCAAGGTGGGAATGGAGGATGAATGCATAGACACGTTGGCTCTTCAGAGGTACCTCTGGGCCCTCTCACATGTGGTTCCTTCTGCCTGGAACAATTTTCCTGCCGTGATTCCCTCAACCCCCTTTCCTTACCTCCTCTTTTAGATGTCACTTGGCCCAATAACCCTTCCCTGACCCTTCAAGTCTGCATTAGGTGCCCCCACATCAAGCTGCCTTCCCCATCACTCCAGGTATCCTTTGTACTATAACGTCGACCATCTTTGTCTACCCCCTCCCAGACTGCAGGCTCTTGGAGGGCAGCGGTGTCTGTCGTTCTATCTCCACAGCCTCTTATGTTGCCTAGTGCAGAATATTCACTATATATATTTTTTTATGAAAATATTATTATAAGAATTACAAGAAAAAAAAAATCAATACATTTAGTAAAAGATGACCACATCCTGCACCTCCCAGTCTTGTCTGAGAAAAATCCAGGGGTAGATTTATTCTTGGAATCACATGGAAGCCTCTCCAACGTGAGCACCGTGTACCTTCTCTAACTTCACTCTGACCTATCTGCCACGTGGTGGTGTGGTATCATCCCACTTTATTTTCTCCACAGCTTTACTGAATCCAAATTTACAGAAGACAATTGAATGTGCCAAGAAAATTGTAAAGGAAAAAGAAGGGATGAGAGCATGGTGAGTGGTACATCTTTAAATAGCCTGTATTAATGACTTTCACATTGTCTTTAATCTTAATCTTGGCCTAATCTTGGTTACTGCACCTCTGCAATCCCAAACTAGTAGGCTCCTAGCCACCAAGTTAAGCAGTGGAACACCACTGAGTTCTGTGACCCCAAGGCTGCAGGAGGAAGGAAATAATTATCAGCAAATTGCCGTAAGTTGAACATGTTTTTCCCCTGTCAAATCTTGTTTAGGATTATACAGGATGCCAGGATGAGCATCTTTGAAATAAATCTCTGGGTGTATCTCTGATTATTTCTTTCATATTAATTCCTACAAAGGTTTTTGAAAACTTTTAGGGTTCTTGACGTACATTGTGAAATGACTCTCCAGCAGACTTGTACAAGTTTATACTAATAATAGTTTAATAAAATGCCTATTTACTGCACTCTCACTAGTTACAAAACCTTTGCCATTTGAAAGATGAATAACAAATTTGTCTTATCCTCTTTTACATTTTATGATATACATTAGGGTATTTTCCCATTATGTTTGTTATATATTTACATTCTTTTGTAATGTTTTTCACTGTCCCTGTCCTTTGCCCATTTATTTTAATTCAGGTCATCATGTTGGTTTGAAAGAACTCTTTATATATTAGGTTTAGCAACTGATTGTTATATATTTGTTGCCAAAAATAGCTGCAACTCTGATTTCTTCTTTAACCATACATTTGCTTAGGAAAGCCTTTAAAATTTACACGTGGTTGGGCCTGTTTTTGACTTCTTTCACTCCATATTACATTTGTTCACATGGTTGTGTGCAGTTGTGATTTGTCCATTCTCATTGCTGTAAAGTATTCCATCATATAGATACATCATAATTACTTATCCATTCTTTTGATGGTGGCATTTGGGTAGTTTTCACTTTTTTTAGTGATGCCATGAACATTCTATACCTGTCTTTTGGTGAACATATAAATGGATTTTTCCATTGATTATACAAGGAATAAAATTGCTTGTCATAGGATATGCATATTTTCAGATTTGGTGTATTCTGCCAAACAGTTTTCTAGAAAGATTTTGTCAGCTTACACTCCCATCAGCAGTTATGGGTTTCAGTTACTCCAAATTCTTGCCAATGCTTGGTGTTTTTTAGTTTATTCTTGTGACTGTGTAGTGGTATTGCATTGTGGGTTTCCTTTCCATTTCCCTGGTGACTAATGAGATTGAACACCTTTTCAAATGTTTCATGGCCATTTAGATATCCTTTTTTTGTGAAGTGCCTGTTCAAAATCTTTTGCTAATTTTTCTATTGCGTTTTCTGTCTTTTTCTTATTAATTTGTCAGGAGTTATTTACATATTCTTGATAGAGGTTTTTTGTTGGAAACAAGGATTGCAAATATCTTCTTTCATTCTGCGGGTTACCTTTTCACCTTCTTAATGGAGTGTTGATAAACAGAAGTTCTTACTCTTAATTTAGTCTAATTTATCATTACTTTCCCTTTCTGGTTATTTTTGGTTATTTTAAGGAAACATTTGCCTATTCCTAGGTCATGAGGATATTCTCCTTAATTTTTTTGAAGGCTTTATTGTTTTACCTTTCACATTTGGCTCTACAATGCCTTTCCTTTCTTTTTCTTGCCTTATCACATTGGCTAAGATCACCAGTAAATATTGAATAGAAGGGATGACAGTGGCATCCTTTCTATTCCCAATCTCACAGGTAGGAAGTTCAATATTTTATCAAGTGTGGTGTTTTCTTTACGATTTCTGAGATACTCTTAATCAGATTAAGCATAGTCCTTTCCATTTCTAGTTTGTTAAAGGTTGTTTTTTTTTTCTTTAATCATGAATCAGTATTGAATTTGGTTATTATGTTTTTAGTTTCTTTGTACTTCCGTGTTAGCCTATCCATCTTCCTTTTGAAATTCAAACTGTTGTCTTTTTTGTTTCTCTTCTCTTCCATGGCTTTCTCCAGAGATCGTGTCTGGTTACATCTTACTGAGGATGCCACTTTTAACAAATTTATTTCTGGATCCTGCAATATGCTATCTTCAGAAGGACATTCCTCTGAATTTCACTACAATGCCCTCTTTTCTTCTTGTGATATTTTCCCATGGGTCCCATGTTAGTTTTTCCCTTCCTTGAATAGGAAAGACTTACTTATATTCAGTATTTGCCAAATAGATAGGTTTGTGACTTCTTCTTGTCTCTGCTCAGTTACTTGGGTGATAGTCAGACCTCCTTCTCAGATATCCATCTTGGCTTAGATTGGCATGTAATGCACATCCCATGGCCCAACTTCCAATTTGGAGATTTTTATGATATATGTGTCAGTTTCTTTCTCATAGGCTGAACCAGTGGAGTACATGAAAACCCTCCATTTCCAGCATGCATTGCTACCACCTCCATCTATACCATTTATCATGGTGGACCTATATTATCCAGTAGACACTGTGTCACTACCAATTTCCACCTTCTCCTGTCTTTCAACCCTCTCCTCCATCCCACATTTCATAATTGACTGCCTGGTTTATTCTGGGCATTGTAGTCTCCAGTGAGATCTAGAAACAATGTCGTATCTCCTCAGCTCCAGATTATACATCTAAATATATCTGAATTAGGGTTTATCTTGCAGTTGATGTGTCCTCCCCCTAAAGTTGTTAATAAATCATTCTTGCATCTTACAATAGAAGCTATCTTAGAGGAAATCCTCTAATGATAGTTACAATTTCTTGGCTGCTTTAGTGTGTAGGCCTTGTAGGTTTATATAAATGTCATTGTTTAATCCTCACAGATATCTGTGCAGTGAGTATTTTTGTCCATTAAAAATGAGGAAACTGAGGCACAGAGAGGTAGAGTAACTTACCCATGGTAGCAGCACTGAAATTGATCCTGGATCTGTGCTATTCCAAGCCTCAGCTTTCACCAGGCAACTCAAAGAGATGGGAATGGTTTGCACAGGATATCTGTGCTCTGGTCATGTAGAAGGCAACAAAAGGATGCTGTCCAGTTCTCTTTTGCGCACAGACTCAGGATTTCAGAGCAGGGTTGGTCAATGGGGGAGGGGAGGACTGCAGGTAGCCTCATTTCACTGGTGGAAGCCTGAGTGGCATTCCTTACTGTAACCCACAGGCCCTGTAGGCAGTGGAGATCTTGTCCAGAATCTGGCAACAGCAGATGTGTCCGTCTCAGAGGTCCAGGCTTTTGTGGTTGCTTTTTTATCTTTTTCTGCGTCTTTGGGAGCAAAGTTCAGCCAGAGATTCTGGGCTGTTTCTCTTACCTCTGTATCTCCAACATCTAGCTCTATGCCTGGCATGTAACAGATGTCCCCTGAATGTTCATTAAAAGACCAAGGCTGCATTTGGGGCCATTAGCCAGAAGCCATTTTTAAAACTTTTACTTTTTAATTTATCATTTATAAAAATAAAAATAATACATACTTTAAAATTAATAATAAAAAACTTATCAGCAGGCTCCTGTTACTATGTCTTACAAATCAGAGAAAAACATAGGCACAAATATCTTAAAACACGCATGGAATCCCAACGTATACACTCACATGCACTTAGCTTTTTTTCACTTATTAATAGAGCTTGTGACTCCAGCACATTATCACCCAGAGGTCTCTGCCATCACTGTAACAACTACTTAGTACCCTGCTGTGTGGACGCTGCAGGGGATTATCTGCCAGTCCCCTGTTGATGAACATTTAAGTTCTTTCCATTTTTGTTGCCACTGCTGTTTCAACCAGTTCTACAGTGAGCATCTTGCTCTTAGAATTTGTACTTTCTTTCAAGTGTATCCTTAGGGAAATCCTTTGCAGAAGATTTGCTGGGACCATTCAGTGCATTTAAAAGTTGGAGGGAGATCACCAAATTGGCATTCAGGGAGGGGCGTCTGCACTACAGTGCGTGAGGGGCCTGTATTGCTCCAGCTCACTAGCCTGGAGCATTAAAACTTGTGTGGTTTTTGGAAATTGAGACTTGTGAAACCATACTATTCTGTTTTATTTTGCATTTTTAAACTATAAAAAAGTTGAGCATCTTTTCATGGGTTTGTTGGCCATTTTTCTGTGAACTGCTTGTTCAAATTCTTAGCCCATTTTTGTATGGGTATGATAATGTTTTCTTTTGTTTTTATTGATTTTATATGAGTCCTTTATAAACTAGGGTTAGTAGACCTCTGTCCATCATATCCATGTGCACTATTTTCCAGGTTTGTTATTTGTATTTTGACTTCGTTTATGGTATTTTCATCATGCAGGAGTTTTACATGTTCACAGAATCAAAGTCCTCAATCTTTTGTTTGTGGTTCTGAGTTTTTATGAAATCTCTTGTTAAAGACTTTTCATACTCCAAGATTATAAAGAAATCAGCCATGTTTTCCTCTGTATTAGGACAGTGCCTGGCACAAAATAAGCCCTATAGTAAGTTTCTGTTAAATAAATTAGAAAATAGAATTTGCATGGTTTCATGTTTTTCTACTAAATTTTTGGCCTTCTTATAATTTATTTTCATATAAAAAGTGAGATAGGGATCCAGCTTTATATTTTTCAAAGGTTTAGTCAGTGGTCTCAACACTACTTATTTATTAATCCGTTTTCCTCACTAATTTAATACATTGCATTTTAAACTGGGAGTTGCCTTATTAATGTTAACTGTCTTCTGAGTGTTCAAAATATCTTTCGTACCTAGTCTCAACTTTCCCATTAATTTGGAAGCTTGGCTGGCCCTCAGCATAGGCACTAATGAGCTAAACTCATCTTTATTGTAGTACAGCACTGAGCAGGGCTATGCCAGGCCGGCTGATCAAGGCCTTCTGACTTGCTCAGGATTCCCAGGGAAGTGAGCTCTTAGTAAGCTAGTAAACAGCCACGTCTCTCCCAAAGCTCAGATCAAGCGGCTTTGCAGAGTCGGGGCAGACAGGAAGGGAGACAACCAAGGCCCTGTGTGCCCTCGCACTTCTGCAACGCCTGCCCAGGGCTGCGGAAGTCCTTGCGATTTCTGAAAATATGTACGCGTGTGTTTTCCCTGCTGCCTTATAGCCGTGAGGGGCCAGGGGCCCGCAGCCCCTTCTTCAGCTGTGGGAACCCCTACCCATGAAGACTCCTGGGGGCCTGCCCGGCTGAGGGATGGGACTAACTAAACAGGATTTCTAATGGCCTGCAGTGGGCCTGGTGACTCCAACAGCTTCTAGATTGAGATAGGAGGACCTGGGGCCTGGGTACTGGCATAGGGCCTGGGAATAGGGGGGTCACTTTTAGGGGCACCAGGAGAAAAGCTTAGAGAAACTCGGTCCTGCTGAGCAAGGCAGGGTTGAGGAGACGGAGGGAATCTTGGAAGGTGAAGCAGGTGCGGGGAAATTTGAAGGAGGCCCTGGCCCAGGAGATGAGGGCTCCCATTTCAGATCTAGGGTCTGCCACGTACTCACCAGATGACCCTGGGCAAGTCACAGAACTTCTCTGATGCTCACTTCAGAGAAGTTAAAAATCCTTACCTTGCAGCGTTGGGGGGAGATTTCACAGTTTGCTGTTCAGCTTCCCCATCTCACAGTGTGGATTTATAGAAAGAGGGAGGGAGGTTGTGGGCATGAGCACGTAGGGAGCACCAGCAATCATATTAGGATGTGGTGGAGACAGCAAGAGAGACATACTCGAGGTGCACAAAAGCTTTCAGAAATGTGCCCACAGCAGGGGTAACAAGCTCAAATGCTCCAGGGGCCAGGCCGGGGGTGTAAATGGGCCAGTGGGAGCTGCGGAGGCCTGGAGATCCCAAGCTCTGACAGCGTCCCCGCTCTTCGCTTTCGCTCCTGTTCACTCTCCCTGGCTTTCACCTCCGCAGGCCCTCCTGGTCCCTGAACTGTCAGAACTCGGACACTCTGGCACGGTGGTTGGACGGATGCAAGCTGTAGCCACCGAGGCGGCCCTCGCAATCCTCACCATGTGCATCTTCTGCATGAAGATGCTTTTCTGTTTGCTACCTTCCCTCGACCTTGTTGCATAACTCACCGCTTGACAGCTCCAGATGGAGAAGGACAAAAGTTCGCTCTATCCACGGATGCAGGATGCAGAATAAACCAGCTAATTATTCAGCCCAGGTCAAAGTCTCCACTTATATTAATACACTGTGGTTGTTACTATGTTAACCATTATTTACCATTATCATGATTTATGTCTCATGCTGGGACACACAGGTGAAAGTGAGGAGACCATAAAATCCTCTTTGCACTTCTATAGAGAGGATTCAGTGACAGTTGCACTTTCTTATAAAAAGTTAAGTTCTGGGGGCCAGCCCAGTGGCATAGTGGTTAAGTTCACGTGCTCTGCTCTGGCAGCCAGCGGTTCACTGGTTTGGATCCTGGGTGTGGACCTACATGCCGCTTATCAAGCCATGCTGTGGCAGGCATCCCACATGTAAAATAGAGGAAGATGGGCATGGATGTTAGCTCAGGGCCAATCTTCCTTAGCAAAAAAGAGGAGAATTGGGAGCAGATGTTAGCTCAGCGCCAATTTTCCTCAAAAAAAAAAAGTTAAGTTCTAAAAAATTATCAGTAATGCATACTTTCACTAGAGAAATCGTGAAAAATACAGAAATGGAAAAAAGAAGAATCCTCCTATAATCTTAGTGCCCAAAGACAATCTCTATCATGCCTTCATTGTACTCCCTTTTGGTCTTTTTTCTGTGTAGGGCTTTTTCTTTTTTTCAACATTGCTGTGATAATGCTGTAGATAGAGTTTTGTACCTCGCCTTTTAGAAAGAAAAAGCATAGTAATAAACCTTTCCTCCTTGTGTATTTCAATTTTAAGTAGAAAGGTGTTTATTTCTAAAGCTTAGTGGCTTACAGAATCCTTGCATGGGACGGAGCAGCAAATGTCAGCCTGGGCTTCAAGGACCCACCCACCCAAGACATGGGAGCAGAAGTAGCAGCCAAGGTTTCTGCTGCCAGAAGCCAGGTCACCTGCGGGAACCTAAGCTATGACGGGGTTTGGAGAATACAGTCCTTAACTGTTCAGCCCTTATACAGGAGGAAAGCACTGGAGTGGCATCGAGAGAGCCCATCTATAGCATCTGCCTCACCATGGTGTTAGAGATTCTTCAAAATGAAATTTCAGCGACAGTGTTCGTTGTATGAATGCACCATATTTTTTTTCACTTTACTGTCAGATTTTTAGATATTGCCATTTTAGAAACAATTACAAAGAATACTATTGTGGCCGTTTGTGGCTGCCTCTCTTTTCACTTTTACACTTTTAAAATAACACAAACAACACATATTTAATAAAGAAAACTTTATTTTTACAGATTGTCATAAAGAAGGAAGTTAAAAACCCATCACCCTCCCACTGAAACAGAAGTTTTCATCACTGCTCTGTAGACGCACTTGAGAGAACCCTGACGTAGGGATGGTTAGTGTCAATCTTTTCACGTGTGCCCTTCCCTACCTCAGGGTGTCTGCGCATTTTTTTCCTTACATAGATGGACTGCCACTGTATATACAGTTTTGTGTCTTGCTTTTTTCATTTAATGTTTTGTGGTCTCATATTTCCAGGTCTATGATGGGGTCCCAGCACTGTTTTTAATAACTGCACAGTATCCCCCTATGTGGACAAACTATAATGTGTATAACCATCCTTTGTTACTTTGTTCAATTTAGATAAAAAGGAAATGACATAAGTGAATCATGACCCCCTTAAAGGCAGTGGGACCGAAAGCAAGCCAGCCCTCCTTTTTGTTTGCATCTTGGTTACTTTCAGAAAGGGGAAGAAAGAGCTCTAAGTCAGAATTTCAGGGGCAGAACTTTGACTCAAGTTTAGTAATGACTGATCAGTTTAATCAATTGGTTTCACGTGGCTTTCCCCGCTCTCTCGAGACGAGGCAGTTGGATAGTCCCGAAGCACATAGCTTGAATCGTACAATAAAGTTCCTGCTGGCGACGCGCTTGCTGTTGAGAGCAACGAGAAGATTTTGAGAACTTGAGAGCAACTTTCTTATTGAGCTGGGAGCCCCACACTGTTTCCGAGGGTGAGCCCAAGCGTGACAACACACCCGACCTCAACCCAAGCTTAATGCAGACATTAATGACAGCCTGCAATTGATTCAAACACTATCTCCTCAAGTACCACATCCAGCGCACTGCCGCCTCCTTCCAGCCCGTTGCTTCCGCCGGGCTCATCATCGTCCTCTAATGGCCACTTGTGTCAATAGGGGCGGGAGGCTTGAGGACAAAGCAAATGTTAGTGTATTGATTGGAAAGCCTCTCTAGGGTTTCCCAACATCGCTCCGAGCTTGGCTCCTGTCCCACTGGTAATGCACATCACAATCTAGCACTCATTCCGGAGCCACATCTCCCTGTCTGGTTTACAGAGTGATCAAAACTAGATTTAAAAATCTCAATAACAACAACTCCTGTTATTATTACTTCTATCACCAGCAGCTACCATACTAACTCCAATTTCACAAATATTACACATGAGCCTTTACAGACAATATTTTCATACCCTGCAAAACCTGACAAGGTAGGTGTGAATTATAACCACATTACAGGTGGAGAAGCTGAGGCTTGGAGGGGCTACAAACTTGGCTTTACTCCAGCCTGGTAAGTGATGGAGAGGGAACAGGTATCTCCCCGAAACCTATAGCTCCCGTACATAGTCGCCCCTCCAAACCCTGGTACTATATTGGTGTTAATTTTCTATTCCACCTATTAGCTGGAAAATTGGGTCTCTGGCTTTTTTTAAGAATTTGCATTGAAGATGTTTTAGGCAACTAGCGCAGGACGATGGGTCATTGTCATAGTGCCCAATTCAAAGGCTGGGAAATTAAGGCCCTAAGAGCTGAAGTAACTTTCTCAACTATGCAAAATAAGTCAATAGAGAAGGCAGTGTGGTGACCTGCAACATTTCCAAACTTCTATCATGATAAAACTCACCTGGGTTGGCTGTTAACATGCTGATTCCTGGGCCATGCCCCATAGCTACTGAGTCCCTATCTCCAGGGATGGGGCCCAGGAGTCTGCGTTTTTAAAAGTGTCTCTGGATAAATCTGATCTTTGGGAAAGTTGGGAGAAATTGGTTAGTAGAAAGCGTATGGGTTGGGAAGAGTCAGAAGACATAGGGATCATTCTTGGCTCTGCCACTGATTGTTGAGCCGTCTAATTTTCTGAGCCTCATTTTTCCTACCTGTAGACCAAAGTGAATGTCCCTGACTGGGTTGGCCACACAGTGTGGTGTTGAGGGGGTGGCAGTGAGGTGATGGGGTCTTCTGACTCCTGGGCCCTTTACCTGCTTCCCAGAACCTTGTTGACTTTATCAGTAAAGAGGCTGCTAAAGATCTGCTATCAAGAGGGTTGGGATGGGGCATGTGTGTGACCCTCACTGTTTGGTGTCATGTGTTCCTGAAGGGTAGCTTGGCCAAGTCGGTTACTGGAGTATAAACATTGAATCTTATCCTCAAGACACTGCTTTCTAGAATTTCCCTTAAATGGTGGCTGGTTTTGTTTTGTTTTTGTGAGGAAGATTGGCCCTGAGCTAACATCTGTTGCCAATCTTCTTCTTTTTGCTTGAGGAAGATTTTTGCTGAGCTTAACGTCTGTGCCAATCTCCCTCTGTTTTGTATGTGGGTCACTGCCACAGCATGGCTTGATAAGCAGTGCATAGGTCTGCACCCGGAATCCAAATCTGCAAACCCCAGGCCAACGAAGTGGAGTGCATGAACTTAACCACTACACTATCAGGTTGGCCCCCTGCTTTTTGTTTTGAATCTCAAATCCTACATTACTTCTGGGGCTAGAGGTGAGCCAGGCAGCCGCTGCTCCTCATTGCTGCTTCCTCTTCCTCCCTAGACTTCTCCAGCTCCTTTGAAGTGAGTGCTGCTCCTCCATTCTCTTCTCCCTGCCCTTCATTCACTGAAGGTTTGGGCTCCTGACTCACTGCTTTTCCACCACTGCTGGAGTCATCATTCTCAGTGGTCTCAGTATTTATGTGGACAATCCACTAGCATCCTTACTTCTCAGTTCCTCAAGGTCATTGCCTGCAAAGATCTTGTCCTCCATCTCACTTCACCAACCACTCCCATGGCCATAACTTAGCCTTGTCATTACTAATAACATCACCACCTCCAAAATCTCAGTTCTAAGCACCTCACTCTTTGAACACCACCTTGTATCTTTCCATGGCATTCCCTCTAAGAGTTCTCTAACTCCAACAATTTTGTCTCCACTGGTATCTCTAAGGATTGGCTCTATCAGCCTTGCTCTGCCCCTCACCTTCCCCACGTCCTCACTTCTCTTTTACCCTGGCTTAGATTCCAGAGCTGCCATCATGATGTCGTGCATGCATTCTCATCTCCCTTGCCCATCTTTCCTCTCTCCGACATACCCACCCAGCTATTCAACCCCAGTTAAACCAACTCTCCACCTACTCTGCATTTGCACCCAAGTACAATTTAGAGAAGAGGAAAAAAAACCCCACAACGCCATGTTGACTGATGTCACTTTAAATTCTTGACAACCATTATCAAGTGGGCCTTTACATTTCCAATCAATTTCACACTTTCTCCTCTCTCTCTAAATCTGCAACACCTCCTCCCTCAACCACCCTCTTAATTGATGATATTGCTTCCTCTTTCACTGGAGAAATAGAAGCCATCAGATAAGACCATCTGCAGGCTCCCATCACCACATCTGCCCTCCCACACACCCCTCCTTCCCTCTGTGGTTATGGATGAACTGGTGATGTTCCCAGATAAGGCTGACCTCTCCGCTTGTGTCCTGGATCCCATCCACTCTTGCTCACTCTCGGACTTTACAAGAGACAAGTGATAACGCGCGATCACTTTTTCTTCCCTACTTAATTGCTTACATCATCATAAAAACATATTGTAATATCTCCCATTTAAAAAAAATCCCTCTCGTGGCCTCTCATTTCCTGCCATTTCCTCAAAAATTCCTCAAAAGAATTGTCCAGTTGGCCCTCTTCTCTGCCTAACCTTCCATTCTTTTTTTAATCCAACTCATTGGATTCATCTCTATTGTGGTTCCCAGTGATCTGCATATTGCCAAATCCAATGACCAATTCTCAGGTCACATCTTGCTCTCA